CTCTTCCTCCTCCTCCTCCTCCTCTTCCTCCTCCTCCTCCTCCTCCTCCTCCTCCTCCTCCTCCTCCTCCTCTTTCTCCTCTTCCTCCTCGTCCATAGGGAATTGCCGCGTCCTCGTCGGCGGCGGCGCCGCCAGCGCTGGGCAGCACGGAGGGCAGCTGCGACGGGGCTGGCTGGGCCGCCAGCGGCGGCGCCGAGACGTGCAGCGACTGCTGGGCCTCGATGGGGGGGGGAGGAGGAGGAGGAGGAGGAGGAGGAGGAGGAGGAGGAGGAGGAGGAGGTAGATGGAGGACGGAAGAAGGAAAAGGAGGGATGCGAGAAAGGAAGCATGGCGACAATACTGATGTGGAGCGGTACTTTTCCTACTAAGCAGAGAAACTTTCGTGCTGGCGCTTGAGCCCTGACGGCAACCAGGCGTCCTATTCGAGTCGGGATTGTGCGTGCGAGCGAACAGCTCTGGCAGAGCCAAGGAACCGAGAAAAGGGGAGTCAGACCTGTCCAAGCCCCGCGCACCTTCCCAACCCATCTAGGACACCCGACGCCACCTGGGAGGCGCACAGGACCCGGCGGAGCGCGTGCTCACCGACTCTACTCGGTGAACATGCTCGTGCTCTCAGGAAAGGTACAAAGCAGTTCGCTTGAGTGTAGGCGAGGAGCAGACTGAATGCGCCTTGTTTGTGGGGATTTCGCGCTGCGGACAGCATTTCCGGAAGCTTGCAGCCTGCAAGCGAGGCTCGGCGATGGGGCGGCGCCGACGTCGGTGGAGGCGAGGATGCGGAGGGAACTGCCTTGGACTTGTAGATGAGAGCGCGGAAGGATGGAGACTCCTTGAGGGCGAGCGAGATCTGCGGCTCGCCCGGCAGGGTTCAGACCCTGTCATGTGTGTCGTGTTCGTCGCCGACCTCTGCGGCGTCCGTATAGGATGCCTGCTGCGCGGCCGTCGTCTTTTTCGACTCCGAGTGGGCGGCTGCGCGGGCCGAGTCGCGGGCTCGTTTGCATGCGAGGCCGTCGCGCCAGGTCTCTTTGACTTTCGTCGAAGAAGCCCGCGCGGGCGACTTGGCCTGGATCGCGCCCTTGGCATCGTCATCGTCATTGTGTCACTTGGTCTGCTGGGCCCCGCTGACGTAACTCGCTTGCCCGATGCCCCCGACCAGGGCGCGGCTGCCGGCCCCGCGGTGGAGCGCCAACTCCCAGGGCTGGAAGTTTGGCGGGAGCTCCATCTCGGTCGCGTCCTCGCAGCACTTCGAGGGCCGACGTCGTCGTGCCCTGGCGGCCGGCCCAGCGGTGGAGGCGGCTCGCGCGGGTCGGGCCACGAGTGCCGCCCGCGGCCCCCATGGGGTGGCCTGTCCACAGCCTCCACGGGGCCATGTCCATAGCCAGGCCACGGGCCCCTGGCGACCAGGGCCCAGCGGCAGCGGCGCGCCAGCCTGTCCTCCAGCGAGGACGCGCGCACCCAATGGGCGGCCAACCTCTGCGCGAAGCAAGAAATCTATGGGCGCAGCACCTCTCCGCCCGCGGTCGGACGAACGTTCGGGCCCGCGTCGCGGCCGCGCAGGATGTGCAAGTCACGCGCCAGGGCAACTCGCAACTGGCGCTCCATCAGGCCGGCGTTGAACAGGCGCAGCCCAGCCATGGCCTCGAGCGCAGGCTTGCTTATGCGCCAGTTCCTGATGGAGCAGTCGACCGTCGCTGCGTCGTCCAGCTCCGACGCCGGCAGCTTGTGCCCAGCCACCGCCGTAGCTCGATCCGAGGCGCGCTTCGTGTTCCGACGGTGGCGCTCTGGCCCTCGGGCGGCGGCGGCGCCTCTGGCGACGGCGGCCTCGCTGCGGGGGCGACCTCAAGCCTCGCCGGCGGCGGCCGAACTGGCCGCGGGGGCGTCGAGGGGCGGGGGGGGGGGGGGCGCCGACGTCCGCGGCGGCCTCGGCGCGAGCGCGCGCAAGGTGCTGGCGGCGAGCTCCTGCGGCTGCGGCGGCGTGAGCGTCCGCGATGTCGGGGGCTCGTAGAAGGGCCTCTGGCCACCTCGTGGAGCGCGGCGGTGAATGCCAGGCTGTTATCCGCGAGAGAGATCGCGGCCATCATCTCATGCGCGAAAGCGATTCATGTCAGCGTCTTGAGCGCTCCGCACTGCCAGTCCAGCAGATGGCACGCGATGGTGCCAGTCAGAGACGCCAGCGCTGATGCCGAGGATGCGGTGCCCATGCGCAGGAACACTGCACCGCGCAGGGAGCGGCCTGCACGCGCGCCCTCCTCTTATTTGCGAGACGCCGCAGCGGAGTGAATTTCCAACTTCGCCGCGCACCTAGTCGCTGGGCAGTGAATCCTCACTGGGTTGGCTTGCTCCCGCCTGACCAACGCGTTTCGCTTGTGGATGCGACCTCCCGCGCTGCCTGTTGCTGTCTGCACGCTGGGCACAGCGACCATGGCGTCCGCGCCCGGCTGCCTCGCTGTTAGGCCTCGACGGCAGCTTTCCGAGAGGCGTCGATGCTCGCGGCGGCCCAAGCGTCGGCGCAGCCCTGATGGAATTGGTGGCCGCGCTGCCCGATTACCTCCATGTCGAGGTTGAAGCATTCGCCCGGGCAGATGCAGCACGGGGCGTCGCTGCCCACGTCCGCGCCAGTAGCTCGCGATTCGGCACGTAGCGCGGCGGCGGAATTTCCGCGACCACGACGGCGACTCCCTCTGGAGAGAGGCCCAGCATCCAGGGGGCCACCGATAGGCCTCGAGCAGGCGCAGCCACCGAAACTTGGGCCACCTCCCAGGGCGCCTGAGCTTCCAGAGCCAGCCCGTTGGCACTCAGCTCTGCAATTGAACTCCGAGCCGCAGATGCTGCGCTTCGTCGCCTGCTCGTCGTAGCCTGCTGGGTTATTCCCGCGGCCTTTGCCGTGGCCGCTAGACCGCTTTTCTTGGCCTGTGAAGTTGCTTCCGCGGGCGACAACGTCGACTTGGTCGTCGGTCAGCTGGGCCAGAACGCTGCACTTCTGAGCCCCCATTGCCTTTGCCTCTGGATTGGCCCTTCGACGGCCGCCCGTTCTCCTGGATGAATCGCATGGCTTCTCTGCTGGGTACGTTCATGTGACAGATCCGTTGTTGTTTGTGGCGCTTCATCTGCCAGGAATGCTGGGCGTCGATCCAAGATGTGGCCCGTGCGCCTGAGCATCACAGAGACAACTGAACTCAGGCTCTGCTGCGAGGTATCGATTGCCGCAAGGCTGGAGCAACGTCATGAATCGACTGGCCGCGGCGCCGACCGCTCGGAGCCTTCCCATGACATCGCAACTCCATCCTCGTGCGTCGCTCGGAATCGCAGCGCGAGGAACCGCGAGAGCAACGCGTCGCTGGTCATGTTGCGTTGCCTCGAAAATTCGGAGGGCCCCCGTGTAGCTTTCAAGGTTGACTCTTCGCTATGCCGTCCGAACTGACTTGCGAAGTTCGCGATGAGGTAAGCGACGGCATCTCACATTGGCCGTTGACCAAACCTTCGCCGGTCACCTCCGCGAAGCTCATGGAACGCGCGAATTTACGAACATCGCCGTCAAGGTTCTGCATGATGGCTGCGCGCTGCTGAGTGCTGTTCATGTCTGTGGCGGGCACGCTCCACATGAGCAGGCCCTGCGCCCAATGGCGACATGGGTCGGCGGACTCGCGTTCAGGCGACCACGCAGGTGGCTGACGCATGTTGCAACTTCTGCCGACGCCTCCACCATGCTGCCCAGCTCCGCCAAGCATCATGCAGACGAGCCAGAGTAAGGCGATCATGGGGGGGGATGAGAATACTGCCCAATGATGCCACATTGGAGATCCTCCTGTGAACAAGGCTTGGTCGCTGTTGCCATGCAGGCGCCTTGTGACTCGGACCTGCACGGGAAATAAAACCATTTCGACACTTGGAGCAGTCGTAATAATACTGGAACCCGCGATCATACCCAACGGTGCCAAGGCAGGTACGTGAAACAGCTTGACGCCACTCGGAACGTGCAGCGTGCCAGCTCCACCGCGTTTAATCCGAACCCACGCGCGGGCCTACTAGTGCGATATAGCGCAAGAGTCCCCGCTCTACTGCATATGCCAGGAAGTTCTCGTGGTGAGGGGGCCGAGGCATCGCTGCCTCCTTGGGTCGGCTCCCCCCTGCACGGGGCCATCTGTCCCGCAAGACACGATGCACTAACAAGGTCATTTGCGGTCGTCGGCGTTGACCTCGCCGCCCCTGTGGTGCGCTTGGCGAATTCCCCGTCAGGGTTGCAAAACAGCCATAAGCACACCTGTTCAGGGAATATCAGGGAATGGAAAGTGGTACCAATGCGGAAGATGAGGGATGCTAGCGAACGTGGGCCCCCAAACAGAAGTTCTTGCAGTTCACGCGGTGCAACCTACGTGGTGCAATGGATGTGATGCAACCGATGAAATACAATATACGCGGTGCAATCTAAGCGGTGCAATTGATTTGAACAAACGAGCTGACACATCCCACGCTCTTGCAAACATCCCACCCACCCACCCGCAACTTGGCTTGCAAAACCCATGTGGTGACGATTGCAATGAGTGTTTGGAGTTAACTGGCCCATCTCTGTGGCCGCGCCAACCCAAGCGCGCGCGCAGCGGCCAGCTAGTTTGGCGCGACCGACGCGGCCACGGTGGCGCTGACTGCTGGGCACATCCCAGCTGGGTGACGACACCGACGACGTCTCCAACGACTTCGACGCCGACAACGACGACGACGACGACGACGACACCGACGACGACGACGACGCCGACGCCGACGACGACGACGACAACGACGATGACAACGACGACGACGATGACGACGCCGACGACGACGACAACGACGACGACGAAGACGACGACGACGACGACGACGTCAACGACGCCGACGACGACGACGACGACGACGACGGCGGCGACGACGACGACGCCGACGTCGACGACGACGAAGACGACGGCGGCGCCGACGCCGACGACGACGACGAAGACGACGACGACGTCGCCATCGAAGACGACGACGACGGAGGAGGGAGGACGACGACGGCGACAACGACGACAACGACGACAACGACGAGGGAGGAGGGAGGACGGCGACGGCGCGAACGACGAAGGAGGAAGGACGGCGACGCCGACGACGACAACGACGAGGGAGGAGGGAAGACGACGACGACAACGACGACGACGACGGCGACGAAATAGGAGGGACGACGACGAGCCGCCGACGACGGACGACGACGACGACGAGGGAGGAGGAGGAAGGACGACCACGGCGATAACGACGACGGAAACGGCCACGACGCCAAAGAGGACGTCGACGACGACGACGAACGCGAGGACGACGTAGGCGACGACGACGACGACGACGACGACGACGCGGGAGGAGGGAGGACGGCGACGACGACGACGACGACGACGACGACGACGACGCAAGATCGCGCGCGCACGCTTTTGTTGAAAATCCGTGTTGCGAAACCTTGTGTTTTTGTAGGTGCTTTGGACACACGATTTTGAAATCCTTCCGAAACCGATGGGTTTTGAAGGAGTTCGGCATAGGCGCGCGACGACGCGCGCGTCTGCACTTTGTCCCATTTTTTGCAGAGGGTTCTCGCGACGGCACACGCGCAAGGGCGTTCGACAGATTTCGACATGCGCGCGCGCGAAGCCCGCATGGTTTTCTTAAGATTTCGCAAGAGCTCGCGCGTAAGCTTTTTTAGCAAATCTGTGTTGCGAAACCCTGTGTTTTTGTTTGTTTTTCTGGAAACTCGATTGCGAAATCCTTCCGACACCGAAAGTTTTTGAAGGAGTTCGGCATGAGCGCGCGACGACGCGCGCCTGTGCACTTCGTCTCATTCTTTGCAAAGGATTCGCGAAAAAGTCTTATGTTAGAACAAAAAATGTCCCCGCGTATTGTTTTTTACAAAGGAACCTCAGGGGGGCCGATACCGCCCCCCCTGGGATATTGCAAATTCATATTTAGGATGGACATGTGGTCAGAATCATATATGATTTACATACCCGAAAGGGGGGCGGATAACGCCAGGGGGGGGTAGAGTCTATTCTCTTTGTAAAAGGAAAATCAATTACTTGCTCAACTTGGAGCTGTCCTCTCCACTGCTCGTGCAGAAATCCCACCCTCCCACCCGCAACTTGGTCGCAATACCTCCTCAGACCGTGACGGTGAGACGTCTCCAAGTACTTCGAGGTGACTTGCTCAACTTGAAACTGTCCTCTCCACTGCTCGTGTAAACATCCCACCGGCCCACAACTTGGTCGCAAGACCTCTTAATACCGTGACGGTGGGTACCAAATGGAACTTGGCAACGACACCGACGCCGACGACGACAGCCACAACGACGCCGACGACGACGCCACCGACAATGACTACGACGACACCGACGAGGTCTCCAACGACGTCGACAACGACGACAACGACGACGACGACGACAACACCGACGACGACGACGACGACGCCGACGCTGACGACGACGACGATGACAACGCCGACGACGACGGCGACGACGCCGACGACGACGACGACGACGACGACGCCGACGACGACGACGACGACATCAACGGCGACGACGAAGACGACGACGACGACGACGACGTCGCCAACGAAGACGACGACGACGACGAGGGAGGAGGGAGGACGACGACGGCGACGACGACAACGACGAGGGAGGAGGGAAGACGACGACGACGACGTTGACGACGACGACGCCGAAATAGGAGGGACAACGACGAAACGCCGAGGGAGACGA